TCATCTTTGCTTCAGTGAATGTTCATCCCACAGGCATCCATCCCAGGCATAAAGCTTCAGGTTATAGTTGAGATGATGTGTTAAAAGGGGGACCCATGTTATCTATGGCAATAAGAGGAAAAGGAAAGGTTTTCCCCTTAATGCCTGACACATAGTAGGTGTTCAATAAATTGGTTTTGGATGACTTGGGGAAATAAATTAATATATTTCAATCATGTTTAAAATACGCCATATTTGACTTTAAAAAAAAAAGTTGGAATTTTTTTTTCAATATGTCAGGAGTTGCTGCACAGGGGGAAAGCAAAGTTCCTAGGAGTAAGATATGCAAGAAGGAAGCCCACCTTGCATCTCAGATTGAGTTCCCTAGACTATGTGCTTGAGGGGAATTCTCCCCTTGCAGACGCACTGCTGAGTGATAAGGGAGCGCCTGGACTCCACTCTGACCAGACCTTGGTTCTGAGGCCTATGAAATGGGAAGAATAGAAGCAAGAAAATCTATCTATTCAAATCTGCAAGAGGAGGAAACTTCTATTCACCTTCCTGGATCAACTGTTCCTTTGTAAAAGTAAAGCTAACGCTGTGGAAAATGAGCTATGCGAGAGTCTGTGCTCCAGGGAAGAACAAGCTGGCCTAATCATCCCCTCAGTCAGGACAGCGAATTGTTAAAAAATAAAAAAACAAACAAACAAAAAAAACACTTAAACAGGCCTAAGTAAAGGTCCAGTACATTATTTATTTAAGATTGAAGGGCCGGGGGCAGTGGCTCACGCCTGTAATCCCAGCACTTTGGGAGGCCGAGGCGGGTGGATCACGAGGTCAAGAGATCAAGACCATCCTGGTCAACATGGTGAAACCCCGTCTCTACTAAACATACAAAATTAGCCAGGTGTGGTGGTGCATGCCTGTAATCCCAGCTACTTGGGAGGCTGAGGCAGGAGAATTGCCTGAACCCAGGAGGCGGAGGTTGCGGTGAGCCGAGGTTGCTGTGAGATCGCGCCACTGCACTCCAGCCTGGGTAGCAAGAGTGAAACTCCGTCTCAATAAATGCAAATCAAAACTACATTGAGATACCATCTCACGCCAGTTAGAATGGCGATCATTAAAAAATCTGGAGACAACAGATGCTAGAGAGGATGTGGAGAAATAGGAACACTTTTACACTGTTGGTGGGAGTGTAAATTAGTTCAACCATTGTGGAAGACAGTGTGGCGATTCCTCAAGGACCTAGAAATAGAAATTCCATTTGACCCAGCAATCCCATTACTGGGTATATATCCAAAGGATTACAAATCGTTCTACTATAAGGACACGTGCACACGAATGTTCATTGCAGCACTGTTTACAATAGCAAAGACCTGGAACCAACCCAAATGCCCATCGACGATAGACTGGATAGGGAAAATGTGGCACATATACACCATGGAATATTATGCAGCCATCAAAAACGATGAGTTTGGGTCCTTTGTAGGGACATGGATGAACCTGGAAACCATCATTCTCAGCAAACTGACAGAAGAGCAGATCGAACACCGCATGTTCTCACTCATAGGCGGGTGTTGAACAATGAGAACACATGGACACAGGGAGGGGAGCACTACACACTGGGGTCAGTTGGGGGGAGATAGGGGAGGGAGGGTGGGGGTGGGAAGCTGGGGAGAGATAGCAAGGGGAGAAATGCCAGATGTAGGTGATGGGGAGGAAGGCAGCAAATCACACTGCCATGTGTGTTCCTATGCAACAATTTTGCATGTTCTTCACATGTACCCCAAAACCTAAAATGCAATAAAATAAATAAATGGGAAAAAAAGGTTGAATTAGGACTGAGTTATCCTGGGCTGCTTATTTTAGTTATTACCGGTAAGTAAAGGCTAGCAATTCTGGCACAATATCACAATTATACTGTATTATTTAGGAAATAATGACAAGAAAAAGTCTGCATGTGTTCAGTGCAGATGCAACCTTCCTAGACCTAGCTACATGTACATGTTGTTAAAACTTGCGCTTTGAATGAAGAGACTCCCAAACAGGCTTTGTGTGAGCAACATGGCTGTTTATTCACCCGGGTATAGATGGGCTGAGGCCAAAAAGTGCATCAGTGAAGGGCGGTGGGATAGCAGTTGGTTTTATAGGTTTGGGGTGGGCAGTGGAAAGTTACAGAGTGAGATCAGTTACAGTGGTGGGGGTAGGGGCAAGGAGTATATATTACCATAAGTTCAGCTACAATGTCGTGTAGGGTAAGAGTAGTTAAGATGGCAGGGTGGGGTAAGGAGTATTCACATTATCATAATAACAGTTAAGATGGGGGGGGTGTCAGCAACAATGTAACATTACTACCCATGCTGAACCTGTGAATATGGAGGGCCGACTGTACTATTATATTTGTGTGCCATTCAGAATAAAACAATGAGAAGTTTAATAGGGATACCATGAATAAGCTGTGACAAGTAAACCTCCCACATGGAGAAACAAGCAAGAAAATGTGCTCGTCTCAACTGGGTCTGGGTGAAAGAAGAAAAATCTTGCCCAAGAATGTGAACTACAAGTCAGTATTGAAGCTAGGTTGCATGGTTCAATGAACCTCCGTGGAGAATTTATTCAAAGCAGTCTCCGGTTGGTGGTACCTCCAGATGGCTAACAAAAGCAAGTCAAAATCTCCTCTGTGAGACCTAGACCTCAGTGAGGACCAGCAGCAATCGTGAGTCACTATGGCAACATTAAAAACCAAAAATTTTTGCATCCTAGAATTGATGAAATAGGATCAGCAAAATCTTAACAGTGGCCAACTCAGTAGTGATATTATAGATCAAAGGTATTTTTCTGTATTTGATGTAACAGACATATTTAGTATTTAGAAAAGTAAAATCAATTTTCAGTTTTACACATATGGTATCCTAGGTGAACTCATTTTGAAATATTACATCAGACTAGGGTCCCTGAACATGATTGTCCCTTCCTCTCTTCTTTTCATCCACATTTGTTCCCCAGCAGAGCTGTTCTAATACCTAAATTCAATTCGTTCCCTCCCTATCATCTTGTGAAATTCAGTTATCAAAGAAGAGATAACTCTGATGGTCAGGTACAATACCTCCATCAGACTGTGAATGCATGTGTTAAGAGGGATGTTATCACTGTCATTTAACATTTTTGAACACCTACTATGTATAAGATATTAGATAAATCCTGACAAGAGGGCATTGCACAGAATTGTAAGTCTCTACTTTCATTCATATATTTAATTGACAACTATTTGTTGGGCACCTATTAATGCAAAGCACTAGGAATTTAAAGATACACATTGTGGCTGATGAGCCAGGAGAAGGCCATAGGCTTAGGGGTTGGAAATTTTGCTCTTCTGTTTATACGGAAAGCTGATTGGGAGGGGAATTATGAATCTATTTCCTGGTATATACATAGCTTGAGGGTATTAAGTCCAGGAGGTGCTGTGGGGTGGGGGCTGTGGAAGATGGCTACAAAAGATCAGGACAAGGAAGTCCCTCCAGGGAGAAAGAAAGTCCATCAGCCCTAAAGCTAATGGCTTTGGAAATTGCTTTTTCTCTGTGAACCTCCACTTTATATTTAAAAACAAAATTTCAAATGTCTCAACCTGAGAAGCTTTGGCTATGTCCTGGTCTTCTGAAGTGGTGGGCTTTGGAATCTGGCCTGGAGTATTTCAGATATAGCCTACTCTGGTGCACCCTTGAATGAGCCACATAATGAATGTCCTGGCCCTAGTGTTTTTTTCTGGACCATGCCTGGGGCTCCTCATCTATTTCAGTGACTGTCTACATATTCCAGGGAATGAGTGTTGAATGGTTACTTACTTGCCCTTGTAAGGTTGGGGAGAGGCTGAACTAAATATGTAAAAAATGAAAGCAGACCCTGTTCTTTGGGGTAAAATGCTGCATAAGTACATTCTTTATTGTTATATCACAGATTTTAGAATAGAAGTGGCAGTCTAGGGCAGTCATTCATTATCTCCTTAGGGATAGGGGTTAAGTCACATTGTCATTGCATTGCTGGGGTGTGGGACACAGATGTTCATAAACATCCCCTGGAGTGACTCCCAACACAACTCTGCTGAGTCCTTTTGAGAACGGGGAAATCGTGGGGCCTTCCTGAACCCTGGATGAATTGTGGACCTCTTCCTCTTGCCACCTCCTTCTTTAGTACTATTTTAATAGCTATTACTATTTTTATACACATCTCCTCTGAAAGAGTTACTTTAGCTGCTAGATTTACCTCATGGATTGAGGCATTTAAAATTTTTTAAAAATATAAAATGGGAGTTCATAGAAAATCCCTAATCAATTTCCAAAGCCATCAGCTTTAGGGCTTTTTCTCCCCTGAGCAACTTCCTTTTCCTGATCTTATGAGGGAATATCCCTCACCCCACAAACGCTCCAGTACCTCCTAATACCCTTATGCTGTATATATGCCAGGAAATAAACTAATAATCTCCACCTCAATCAGTTTGTAACATAAAGGGAAGTGCAAAATTCCGAAACCCTAACCCTGTGGCCCTTTTCAGTGTTCATTGATGTGTCTATTGCAGACACCTGGGTAGCCAGGCCGCCTCTGCCTCACTCCTCTGCTTGTAAGCAGCTTCTGCCACACATCCAGGATTATGTAATGCATATCTGTCACGGTCCGCAGGACCAGGGGACTTATAAAATAATGGTGACATAAAAACTCACACTGGTAGCTACACCATGGAGCCCTAGGTGAGAAGGCGCCTCCACCCGCACTCAGGTGCACGGGGCGCGGGGAAGAGCGTTCCGCCCGCACGCGTCCCACGCGCGGACGTGCACTCGGACGCCTCCGAACAGGCTCGCGATTCCCGAAGCCGGTTCCGCGGCGCCTGCTCCAGCTCAGTGGGAAAGGCGCCTCCGCGGCGGGGCCCCGGGCAGCGCGAGACCCGGCGGGGGGCGGCGGCGGAGGCGGCGCGGCCCGGCGAGGGGGGTTCCCGCAGACCGCCCGCCCCGCCCCTCGCGCCCGCGGCTCCGCCTCGCCTCGCCATGGTGGAGCAGGGAGACGCGGCGCCGCTGCTGCGCTGGGCCGAGGGCCCCGCCGTCTCTCTGCCGCAGGCCCCGGAGCCGCAGGCTGGAGGCTGGGGCCGGGGCCGGGGCGGCGGCGGGGGCGCTCGGCCGACCGCGGAGCCTCCCCGGAGGCGGGAGCCCGAGGAGCCGGCTGCCTCGGAGGTGCTGCTGCAGCCCGGGCGCCTGGAGCTGGGCGACGTGGAGGAGGACCAGGTGGTGGCCGTGTTCGTGGTCACCTTCGACCCCCGCTCGGGTGAGGGCCGCGCTGGGGCGGGGGGCGCGAGGGCCGGGATGCCCCCGGGCTTTGGGGGCGCGGGGGAGGGGCTCGCTGCGCGCGCACCTGCCCTCCCGGCCCCGCACCCGCGCGGGTCCCGGGCTCCCCGGCTCCAGGAAGGGCAGGGGGCGGCGCGTCCCCATCTCCCTCCCTTGGGGCGCAGCTGGGTGCGGGAGCGCGGCCTCTCGGAGCGGCACCGAGCGCTTTGTTCCAGCCCCGCCGACCCCCGCTCCTCTCCTCTGAGTCCTGGCCGCACAGTGGTGTTTGCACTTCTCCAGTGACAGGGGATCCGGTTTGTGGCCACGTTGACTTTTGTTTTCTTATCTTCGGGGCGAGAAGGTTTTTCACGTTGAGGGGAGG